ATTCTAGAGTTTAGAGGATTTCATTCCCAAAGAAGGTATCCTACTGAAAGCATAAAGTAGAAGACAAAGTCCTTCATTTTAATCACTTTATTCAGTTACAAGGTTAAATTTCCAATGAATGTATTCAATGAGGTTTTAATTAAAAAAAAAAAAAAGGACTGTTAGAACAGGTATGAAGAAATTTTTTCAATATAATTTTTTTGTTGCTGTTGAGAATATACATAGCAGAACATACACCAATTCAACGATTTCTACATGTACAATTCAGTGACATTGATTACATTCTTCAAGTTGTGCAACCATTCTCACCCTCCTTCTCTAAGCTGTGCCTCCCCCATTAACATAAACTCGTTGCCCCCTGTTTCCTATCTACTAAGTTGCTGTTTTCAGTTTGATCCCATCTAGATAAATCTTAAAAGAGCGTAATACTCAAGGAAGGCATTCTTTACTAGTTAAGCTAAACTATTGTTTGATTTTAAGAAGACTTCAAGGGATATTTTTTGTTTGAAGTTGAAAAATTATCTCAGGCCAATATGCGTGGGATTCATGTAGCCTCAACAGCTCTAGGAAGTCTGGATTCCTTTAGAATATGAAATTCTCTTCTGCATGTTCTCCCTCTTGATAAGGATTCTTCTGTAGATTCTTTGGTCAAACTTTTCAGTAATGGTAGCCAGGCACCATCCAGTTCTGGTTTCATGGCAAAGGGGGCAGTTGTCCATGGAGGCAGCTAGACACATTCTGTTTCCTCTTCCTGTTGCTGACTCTCCTTCTTCCTCTGTTGCTCCAGGTGAATAGCGACCAATTTCAGGTACAATGCAGTTTTTGTTTGTTTTTTTCTTTTATTGTGCTTTAGATGAAAGGTTACTGCACAAATTAGTTTCTCATTCAACAATTTATACACAAATTGTTTTATGACATTGGCTGCAATCCCTGCATTGTGTCAGCACTCCCCCTGTCCCTTTCCACCTCAGGTTCCTGGGTTCCATTCGTCCAGTTTTCCTGTCCCTTCCTGCCTACTTGTCTTTGTTTTTGGGCAGGTGTTGCCCTTTTGTCACATATACTTGATTGATCTAAGAAGCATGTTCCTCACATGTTATTGTTTGTTTTATAGGCCTGCCTGATCTTTTACTAAAAGGTGAACTTTAGTGGTGGCTTCAGTTCTGAGTTAAATGTGTTACTGGGGGCCATAGTCTTGGGGGTTCCTCCAGTCTATTTCAGAGCAATAAGTCTGGTCTTTTTTGTGAATTCAGTCTGTTGTTCTGCATTTTTCTCCCACTCTGTCTGGGACCCTCTGTTGTAATCCCAGTCAGAGCTGTCGGTAGTGGTAGCCGGGCACCATCTAGTTCTTCTGGTCTCAGGGTCATGTAGGCCGTGGTTCATGTGGTCCATTAGTCCTTTGACTAACTGCTCCCTTAAGTCTTTAGTTTTTTTCACTCTCCGTTGCTCTGGACTAGAAAAGACCAATAGTTGTATCTTAGATGGCTGCTCGCAAGCTTTGAAGACCCCAGACGCTACTCACCAAAGTAGGATGTAGAACATTTTCTTTAAGAAGTATGTTGTGCCAGTTGACATAGATGTCCCCCGAGCCTGTGGTCCTTTGTCTTTGAGTCTGGGAACTTCATCCTGTGAGGTGTTTAGTTACGTCTAAGAGATTTCCCTGCCTGTGCCACTTGTGTGCTCTATTGTCTGTATTAATATATGAGAAGCACCTATGGTCATGTATTTAGAAATTTCCACCACCAAACGTATATCTGCCAGTAGGTGTGCTCCCTTACTCCTCCCTCACCTCTTGGCACGTCTACCTACCTACCTCTCTACCTCTCTGTCTCTTCTCCGTCTCGCTCTATCTGTCTATCTGTCTGTCCATTTGTAGATTATTGTTTTTTAATACTGTTGTTGCAGGATTGTCTATGTTAAAGTAGTTACCATAAAAAAAAATCAAAACCAAACCCATTGCTGGCTAGTTGATTGCTACTCATAGCGACTCTATGGAACAGAGTAGAACTTCTCCATAGGGTTTGCAAGGAGTAGCTGGTGGATTTGAACTGCCGACCCTTTGGTTGGCAGCTGAGCTCTTAACCACTGTGACACCAGGGCTCCAGTAGTTACCATAGTTGTCCTTTATTCCTGCATTCCTCTCAGTGTTACAGTGCGGTTTTATTGCAGTGGAAGATGTTGTGGCTATTAGGTTTTATCTTTAATTGTTCCAGCTCTGCTTTGCAAACCAGCCTAGTTTTTCAAGGCCTTAAATAAAGATACTAAAATGAGAATAAATCAAGTGTGTAAATTACTTGCCTTAGGCAAGAAGATAGGTAATAATTTATCAAGTTAAAGTATGGTTCTGATTCCTAAAACTTATACTAAGTGAATCCCACTTTAATTTCTATATCAAATTCCTTCTAGAATCTAGAGAGAGTCCTTTCCCTTTCTTTTACAAAAGAAAAGTATGTGTCAATTTGAGTGCTGCTTAATTTGTTTGATTATCCTTCTATTTGGTGACTGTATCACTGTTGAAAACTTTTGCTTGCAGTAATATGGGTGATGTGGGGGTGCTTTATAGGTCGGGGGAACATGCTTTGTAGGTCGGGGGAACAGCATGACCAGAGCACTGAGGAGGTAACAAGTAAAATGAATGCAGAGAATGGTAAGGACATTAACCTGGCCAAGGCACAGAGACTGGGAAATGAAATTGAATATGGTATGGTATGATAGGGCTTGTTGATAAGAATTTGGAATGTGTTGCTTACCTTTAAGTGAATTTGAGTTAATCTTACATTTACAGTTAATCTGATAGGCAGATGTTCTTTAGCTTTTTTCCAGGAAGGAAACCTCCATAAGCACAGTTGATTTTTAAACTTATGGTTTTTTTTTTTCAAATTGTGGTACATATATATGTACCTTAACAATTGCCATTTCAGCTTTTTTCACACGTACAAGTTTGGAGATTGTATGATTTCAAAAACATAAGAGTTGTTTGGCAAAACTGGTAAATCTTTACTCTGGACCTGCATTGTGCCAAAAGCTCTGCTAGGAGCTGGGGATGTAGTGGTGAACAAAACTCTTCCTTAGGAAGACACAGCACCGCTGGTCAGTGCTTACTTCTACCTTACCTTACTTCTCACAGAACCCTTCAGTGACTGGCTTCCCGTTTTGACTTTCATACTTTCCTGACCTTTCCTCACCTTCACTCTTCTTCCCAGTATTCCCACCATCCCTTGAACTCATGTTTCAGATCTTACCATCTCATCCCCTAAAATTCCTCACCCCTGCCCAAAGTTCTCCCTACTCCTGCCTGTCTGTCTTAGTTATCTAGTGCTGCTACAACAGGAATACCACAAGTGGGTGGCTTTAACAAACAGAAGTGTATTCTCTCACAGTTTAGGAGGCTAGAAGTCCAAATTTAGGATGCCAGGTCCAGAGGATAGCTTTCTCTCTCTGTAGGCTCTGGGGGAAGGTCCTTGTTATTAATCTTCCCCTGGTCTAGGTGCTTCGCAGTGCGGGGACCCCAGGTCCAAAGGACATGCAGGCTCCTGGCTCTTCTTGCTTGGTGGTAATGAGGTCCCCCATCTCTCTGCTTGATTCTCTCTTTTATATCTCAAAAGAGATTGACTCAAGATATAACCTAATCCTGTAGATTGAGTCCTGCCTCATTAACATAACTGCCTCTAATCTGGCCTCATTAACATCAGAGAGGTTAGGATTTACAACAATAGGATAATCCCTTCAGATCACAAAATGGTAGGCAATTACAAAGTACTGGGAACCATGGCCTAGCCAGGTTGACACACATTTTTTTTTCATATTCTCTGATCAGTATCTTGAAAGACACAAAAGAGACTAGTTGCTAAGAAGGGTAGCTTGTGATTTGGCTTTAATGCCAGCCAAGAATATGGAAAATACTTTAGTAGCTCACAGTTGGTGCCATCAAGGCCCTAAACAAACTACAGACAATGGAAAGTTTTTTTCTGGAACTCTGTATTCTTTATTTCAGTAATTTTCAGCTGGGGGGGATTGCACTGCCCAGGAACGTTGGGCAGTGTGTGGGGACTTTTTTTTTTTTTTTTAATTGTACTTTAGATAACAGTTTACAGAACAAACTAGCTTCTCATGAAACAGTTTGTACACATATTTTATGACATTGGTTACCAAGCTCAGAATATGTCAACATTGTCCCCTTCTCAACCTTGGGTTCCTTATTACTAGCTTTCTTGTCCCCTCCTGCCTTCTCGTCCTTGCCCCTGGGCTGCTGTACCACTTTTAGTCTCGTTTTATTTTATGGGCCTGTCTAATCTTTGGCTGAAGGCTGAACCTCAGGAGTGAATTTGTTACTGAGCTAAAAGGTTGTTGGGGGCTATAATCTCAGGGTTCCTCCAGTCTCTGTCAGACCAGTAAGTCTGGTCTTTTTTTGTGAGTTAGAATTTTGTTCTACATTTTTCTCCAGCTCTGTCTAGGACCCTCTGTTACTGACACACATTTTTGGGGGACACAATTCAATTCATGAGATTGCCCATTACCTTCATCTCTCAAGTTATCCCTCAGCCTTTACCAGCGCTCTCCTCTACTCTTCTGGCATTGGTTTTTCATAACCGTTTTCTTGCCCCCCGCATTTTAATTTTTCTTGCCGTCTTTTATCCCTGTTTATCTTTGTGTGTGTGCACAGCACGCGCACGTATGTGTGTGTACATCCCATACCCCACCCAGGGTTGATAACAGGAGCTAAGACAGGTACTTCTTGGCACCTTCCTCAGCACCTACTGTTAGTACTGATTTATTTTTATAACATTTATTACCTTCTTCACCCGCCATGTGAAAGTACTATTTATATAAGAGCAGAGATTGGTGTTTCCAAATGTTCCTTCTGTCTTTTGAGAAATACACAGTTTCAGTGTGTATGTGTGAGTGTGTTTTCCCAGAAGACATAACATTGGTATGACATGGCCAAATGGATACATATGTCCACTGTAGGTTTCTTAATCTTAGGCCTTCCAATATTTTTTCAGGTGGGCACACCACTGAAATCCTGAGACTGCTTGGGAACCTGTCTAATGCTTACTCTCCAAGGCATTATATCTTTGCTGACACGGATGAAATGAGTGCCCATAAAATAAGATCTTTTGAACTAGATCGAGCTGAAAGATACTCCAGTACCGTGGTAAGTGATCATTTCTGTTTCTAAGAAAGCTACAACTTGTGCTATGTGTTTAATTGTCTCTGAAAATAACATCATGATACTTAAGTGCCCTGCCCACACACGGCATTCAAATGTTTATTGCTAATGAAATGTATTTCCTTTACTACCAAAAGATAAGAATTTTTTGAAACTAAATCTGCAAATTAAAGATGGTTGCTTAATTGCTTGTATTTTGTTTAATTCTTTTAAATAGAGGAAACTGTTTAATTCCAGTTATGAAAGTTGTTATTTACAGTTGCATACATGAAGTGTCCAGCTTGTGTGTTTCCTGGCTCTTTGACAGTGTATTGCATTTATCAATAATTTATCTATCAGTGTAAAGTTCTTTGCATTGTATTCTATTTATCAATAATTTGATTTCTCTATGACTTTTTTTTTTATGTTAAACCTTTTTTTTTTATAATAGTGGTTTCATACAATATTTGTCCTTTCGTATATTGGTTTATTTCACTGAGCATACTGTCCTCCAAATTTATCCATGTTGTGGGACGTTTTGCGGATTTGTTGTTTTTTTTAATTGTTGCGTAGGATTCCATTGTGAATATGTACCACCATTTGTTTATCCATTCATGTTGATGGGCAGTTAGGTTGTTTCCATCTTTTTGCTATTGTGGACAATGCTGCAATGAACATGGTGTGCATATGTCTATTCATGTCCCAGCTCTTATTTCTCTAGAGTATATACCTAGGAGGGTGATTGCTGGATCATATGGTATTTCTATTTCTAGCTTTTTAAGGAAGTGCCATATTGTTTTCCACAGTGGTTGCACTATTTTGCATTCCTGCCAGCAGTGTGTAAGAGTTCCAGTCTCCCCACAACCTCACCAGCATTTGCTGTTTTCTGTTTTTTTGATTAGTGCCATTGATGTTGGGGTGATCTTACTGTAGTTTTAATTTGCATCTCTCTGATGGCTAATGCCCTACGCATCTGTCAGTTTGTGGTACTGTGGTGGCTTGCATGTTGCTGTGTTGCTGAAAGCTATGCCATCAGTATTTCAAATACCAGCAGGGCGACCCATGGTGGACAGGTTTTAGCTCAGCTTCTAGACTATTACAGTTAAGATTGTGTGTCAGCTTGGCTGGGCCATGATTCTCAATGGTTTTCCAGTTATGATGTAGTTTGTAATCGTATAATGATGTGATCACCTCCATGATGGGCTCTTGGTGTGAGTAGTTGTCATGGATTGAATTGTGTCACCCAAAAATATCTGTCAACTTGGCTGGGTCATGATTCCTAGTATTTATAATTGTGTACCATTTCATAATCTGATGTGATTTCCTTATGTGTTGTAAATTCAATCACTATGATCTAATAAGATGGATTAGCGGCAGTTATACTGATGAGGTTACAAGATTGGATAGTGTCTTAAGCTGATCTCTTTTGAGATATAAAAGAGAGAAGCGAGCAGAGACACATGGGAACCCTCATACCAACAAAGCAGTGCCGGGAGCAGGGCACATCCTTTGGACATGTGGTTCTTGTGCTGAGATGCTCCCAGACCAAAGGAAGACTGATGCATCACAAGGACCTTCCTCTAGAGCTGACAGAGACAGAAGGCCTTCTCCTGGAGCTGATGCCCTGAATTTGGACTTGTAGCCTACTAGACTGTAAGAGAATAAACTTCTCTTTGTTAAAGCCATCTACTTGTGGTATTTCTGTTAGAGCAGCACTAGATGACTAAGACAGTAGCCAGTCAGTTGAAAGGGAGTCTCCTTGGAGGTATGGCCTGCTTCTAATATAAGTGGATGTTCTGGCAAGACTTGTGGGCTTTTACTCACTCTGGCTCCTGCAGCTGGCTCCTGTTCTCTGACTTCTGGTTCTTGGGACTTCAGTTAGCCGCTTACCTGCTGTCTTGGGATTCGTCGGTCTTTGCAGCCTGTGATCCAGAGCCCTGCTGTGTGACTTGCAGATCTTGGGTTTGTCAGCCCCTGCGGCTATGTAAATTAGGAGAAGCCTCCATCCTGATCCATGTTCCAGTCTCTGCAACTGCAGGAGCCATTTCCTTAATATAAATATCTCTCTCCATATATATTTATATACTGTTTTGCTTCTCTAGAGAACCCCACCTAAGACAGACTAAGACATACTAGGAAGAAGGACCTGGGGATCAACTTCTAAGAAAAAGAGCCAGTGAAAACCTTACGAATAGCAGCAGAACATTGTCTGATACAGTGCCAGAAGATGAGCCCTTCAGGTTGGAAGGCACCCTAAATAGGACTAGGGAAGAGTTGCCTTCTCAAAGTAGAGCCAACTTTAATGAAGTAGAAGGAGTCAAGCTTTCAGGACCTTCATTTGCTGATGTGGCACAACTCAAAATAAGAAGGAACAGTTGCAAACATCCATTAATAATAGGAAGGAGGAATGTACGAAGTATGATATCTAAGAAAATTGAAAGTTGTCAGAAATGAAATGGAATGCATATACATCAATATCCTAGACGTTAGTGCACTGAAATGGACTAGTATTGCCATTTTGAATCAGACAATCATATAGTCTACTATGCCAGGAATGACAGGTTGAAGTGGAATGGTATTGCATTCATCATCAAAAAGAACATTTCAAGATTTATCCTGAAGTACAACACTGTCAGTGATAGGATAATATCCATAAGCCTACAAGGAAGACCAGTTAATACGAGTATTATTCAAATTTATACAACAACCATTAATGCGAAAGATGAGGACACTGAAGATTTTTACCAACTTCTGCAGTCTGAAATTGATCAAACAAGTAATCAAGATGCATTGATAGTTACAGGTGATTGGAATGCAAAAGTTAGGAACAAAGAAGAAGGATCGGTAGTTGGAAAATATGACCTTTGTGATAGAAATAATGCCAGAGATAGCAGGATAGAATTTTGTAGGACCAATGACTTCTTCATTGCATATACCTTTCTTCAACAACATAAACGGCAGCTATACACATGGACCTCGCCAAATGGAATACACAGAAATCATGTCGACTACATCTGTGGAAAGAGACAATGGAAAACCTCAGTATCAGTCAGAACAAGGCCAGGGGCTGACTCTGGAACAGACCCTTAATTGCTCATATGCAAGTTCAGGTTGAAGTCAGTAATTAAAACAAGTCCACGAGAGCCAAAGTACAAGTTGAGTATACCCTACCTGAATTTAAAGACCATCTATAGAATAGTTTTGACTCATTGAACACTAATGACCTAAGACCAGATGATTTGTGGAATGACATCAGGGATATCATACATGAAGAAAGCGAGAGGTCATTAAAGACAGGAAAGAAAGAAAAGACCAAAGTGGATGTCAGAAGAGACTATGAAACTTGCTCTTGAACATAGAGTAGTATCTTATTTATCTAGTGCTGCTACAACAGAAATACCACAAGTGGATGGCTTTAACAAACAGAGCTTTAGTCTCTCACAGTCTAGGAGGCCAGAAGTCCAAATTCAGGGTGCCAGCTCCAGAGGAAGTCTTTCTTCTTTTTTTTTTTGGCTTTAACAAAGAAAAATTTATCCTCTCACAGTCTAGGAGGCTACAAGCCCAAATTCACTGTGCCAGCTCCAAGGGAAAGCTCTCTCTCTCTCTGTGAGCTCTTGGGGAAGTCCTTGTCATCAGTCTTCCTCTGGTCCAGGAGCTTCTCAGCATAGAGACCCCAGGTCCAAAACACACGCTCCCATTCTGCTTTTTCATTCTTGGTGTTGTGAGGTCCCCCTGACTTTCTGCTCGCTTGTCTCCTTTATATCTCAAAAGAGATTGACTCAAGATACAGCCTAAGGCATGGGGAAGGAAAAACACTAACAGAACAATAGATAAGTGGAAACGTTAGTGAATGGTAAGACAGTACTCAGTACTGAGGAATTCAGTACAGCTTGACCAAGGCAAAGTCATAGAATCTTCCTAGACACATCCAAACTCCCTAAGGGACCAAATTACTGGACTGAGGGCTCAAGACCATCGTTTCAGGGTACACCTAGCTCAATTGGCATAACACAATTTATAAAGAAAATGTTCTACATCCTACTTTGGTGGGTAGTGTCTGGAGTCTTAAAAGCTTTTGAGTGGCCATCTGAGATACTCCACTGGTCCCACCTCATCAGGAGCAAGGGAGAATGAAGAAAACCAAAGACACAAGGGAAAGATTAGTCCAAAAGGCTAATGGACAACAGCTACCACAGCCTCCACCAGACTGAATCTAGCACAACTAGATGGTGTCTGGCTACCACCACCAAGTGCTCTGACAGGGATCACAATAGAGGGTCCTGAACAGACTTGTAGAGAAATGTAGAACAAAGTTCAAACTCACAAAAAAAGACCAGACTTTCTGGTCTGACATAGACCGGGAAGTGTTTTCGTTCTGTTGTACATAGGGTTGTTATGAATTGGAATCCACTTGATGATGCCTAACAACAACAACGGCTAATGATCGTGAGCATTTCTTCATGTGTTTGTTAGCCACCTGAATGTCTTCTTTTGATAAAGTCTGTTCATGTCCTTTGCCCATTTTTCAATTGGATTCTTTGTTGTTTTGTTGTTGAGGTGTTTTCTGTAAGTTTTAGAGATTAACCCCTTGTTTAATATGTCATAGCCAAAATTTTTTCCCAGTCTGTAGGTTCTCTTTTTTACTGTTTTGGAGAAGTCTTTTGATGAGCATAAGTTTTTTTTTTATTTTTAGGAGATCCCATTCATCTAGTTTATCATCTGCTGTTTGTGCATTTTTAGTTATTATGACTGGTATATTATTTATTCCATGTATTAGGGCCCATAGGGTTGTCCCTATTTTTTCTTCCATGATGATTATAGTTGTAGGTTTTATATTTAGGACTTTGCTCCATTTTGAGTTTTTTTTGTGTGTATGATGTGAGGTATGGGTCCTGTTTCACTTTTTTATAGATGGACATCCAGTTTGCCAGCACCATTTGTTGAAGAGATTGTCTCTTCTCCATTTAATGATCTTTGGCCCTTTGTCGAAAATCAGCTGACCATAG